ATTCATGCATGTATTTAGTTCTTTCAAAGCCCAAAAAGCTTTGTGTTCAAGTTGTAGTGGTAAGTAACAAGCTTTTTCAAAGACTAGCTTGTAGGGAGACATTCCAATGGGGGGTTTTATAGGCCCATAGTGCATCATCAAGCTTGAAGGACCAATCCTTCCTTATTGGTTTTTATCACTTTCTCTAAGATGCTTTAGATCTCCCTATTTGAAAGTTCTGCTAAGCCATTTGTTTGAGGGTGATATGTTGTAGCAAGCCTATGACTTATGTTATATTTTTCAAGAACTCCTTTCATCACTTTATTCACAAAATGAGTACCCTCATCACTAATCATAGCCCTGGGAGTACCAAATCTTGTGAAAATATGTTTATGCAAAAATTTGACCATTGTCTTTGCATCATTGGTGTGGCATGCTGCAGCTTCTATGTATTTAGATATATAATCTACAACTACCAAGATGTACTGAAAAATTCCTAAATGTGAAATGGTCCCATAAAGTCTATTCCTCATACATCAAAGAGTTCAACTTCAAGAATGCCATTTAAGGGCATTTCATGTCTTTTGGAGATGATACAACCCTCTAACATTCATTGCACTTTTTTACAAAGCAATCAACATCTTGAAATAGGGAAGACCAGAAAAATTAAGATTGTAGGACCTTGGCTGTAGTTCTTTGGCCACCAAAATGACTAGCATATGTAGCAACATGACAATGTTATAGTACTGCAGCACATCCTCATGAGGTATACACCTTTAAAGGATCTGGTCAGCCCCTAATTTGAATAAAAAAGGGTCATCCCATAGATAACTCTTTGCATCATGAATTAATTCCTTTCTTTGCTTTTTATTTAGTTCTGGTGGCATGATCTCAACAACCAAAAAATTTGCAATGTCTACAAACCATGGGGCTGAGAATGCTGCAACTTTAAGAACTTCTCATATGGGAATTTTTCATTGATTTCAATAGGACTTGACTCTTATTTTTCAAACCTAGACAAATGATCAGAAACTTGGTTATTTATTTCCTTCCTCTCTATTATTTCAATATCAAGTTCTTGTAACAAAAGCACCCACATTATTATCCTTGGCTTGACATCCTTTTTAGAAGTCAAATACTTAATGGCAACATGGTCTATATGAACAATGACCTTGGTTCCCTTTTGAGTAAGATCTAATTTTTTCAAATGCAAAGATGATAGCCAAAAGTTTTTCTCAATGGTTGTATAGTTTATTTGAGCATCATTAAGAGTCTTACTGCAATAGTAGATGGGATGAAAAATATTTTCTTTGACTTGGCCTAAAACTGCACCAATTCACTTGCATCACACATCAAAATGTTTTGTCCAATCAAGTGTCACAATAATAAGGGAAGAAATCAATGCTTTCTTCAAAGTATCAAAAGCAAATTTACACTTTGTGTTGAAATTAAAAGGTTGGTCATGTTGCAACAATAGACAGAGAGGTTTGGAAATTTTTGAATTTTTTTTATAAACCTTTTGTAGAAACCAGGATGAACCAAGAAACTTCTTATTCCTTTTACATTTGCGGGCTCAGGTAGACTCTTTATGACCTCCAACTTGGCTTTGTTTACCTCTATTCTTCTCATTGAGATTACATGTCTTAGTACAATACCTTCCTTAATGATGAAGTGATATTTCTCCCAATTTAGAAAGAAATAAGTCTCCTCATCTCTTTTTAGACTTTGTTCTAGATTTTTAAAACATTCCTCATAGGAAGATCCATAGACTGAGAATTCATCCATGAATATCTTCATAGAGGTTTTCAACGTATCAGAAAATATGTACATCATGTATCCTTGGAATGTGGCAAGGGCATTGCATAGTACAAAAGGCATTCATATAAAAGCAAAAGTATCAAAAGGACAAGTGAAAGTGGTTTTTTTTGGTCCTCTGGTGCTATAGCAATCTGATGATAACCTGAATAACCATCTAAAAAGCAATAATATTCTTTTCCAGCTAATTTGGTCCAACATTTGATCTATGAAAGACAAGGAGAAATGGTCTTTCTGGGTTGCTTTGTTAAGCTTCCTATAATTCATAGAAATTCTTCATCTTAGCACTACCCTAGTTGGGATTAGCTTATTCTTCTCATTTTCTATCACTGTCACACCTCCCTTCTTAGGTTCAAATTGATAGAATTTACCTAAGATCTACTAGCTATAAGGTAAATAATGCGAGCATCAGGCCATTTCAAGATCTCTTTCTTAACCACTTCTTCCATCACAAGATTTAGTGTCCTTTGAGGTTCAACAGAGGTAAAGTCTTCGTTTTCCAATATAATTTTGTTTTGACAAATTGAGGGACTTATACCTTTTAGACAAGAGATGGTCCAACCTATGACTTTGGTATATGCTTGAAGTATTTTCACTAACTGCTTCTCTTGTTTTTTTTTCCTAAGGAGGCTGAAATGATCATAGGTAATTTGCTATTATCTCCCAAGAATACATACTTAAGGTGGGTAAAAAGTTGCTTCAATTTTAAATTTGGTGGTGCTTCTATGGATGGTAATGGATTCTGTTTGGGGTCATCTTCTAACAACTCATATGTTGCAGCTTGCTGCAACAACTCATTGCTTTCTATGACTTCACCATCCTCACTATCACTATCACTATCTTCCAAATGCTCAATCTTTTCTCATAGCATTTCTCTTAGGGCCTCCTCATGACACATTGTTTCAATGTTGCTTAACATAAAACAGTCCTCTGTCTCCTTAGGAATTTCATTGTGTTAAAAACATTAAAACTGACAATTTGATCTTGCACTCTTATTGGTAACTTTGTTTTCTAGATATCAATGATTGTTCTACCTGTGGGTAGAAAGGGTCTTCTAAAAGAATGGGGGTGTCCTTATCTGCCTCAAAATCAAGGATTATAAAGTCAGCTGAGTATATGATACTACAACAAAATCGGGTTTATTGGACACTCCCAATTTCTAAGCGTCCTAATAGACCTCTTTATAAGACTTAGTTTATAGGACCAAAAAAATAAAGCATCCTATCTAAAGACATTGTAATAAGTTTTTATGACGTTTTTTTGACATCGTAATAAGTTTTTTTAGGACACTTTTAATATAAAGCGTCCCATTAGAAACTTTATAGAACACTATTTGAAAAACTGTTCTATAAAAACAAATGTCCTATAAAAAATTGAGTTTGTAGGACACTTTCTCAAAAGTATCCTATAAGTTAATGCGACACTTTGTCTTAAATTTTTTCTAAAATACTTGTTAAGATGCACAAAAGCGTCATATAAACTTATTACAACCCCTTTAGATAGGACGCTTAAGTCCTATAAAGCGGTCTATTGAGACTCTTAAAGATTGGGGGTGTCCTATAAATCTAATTTTGATGTAGTGTGAACTTGTCTACTTGGACCAAGACATCCTCTATCCTACCTTTAGGAAATGCTATGGATTTTCCAGCTAATTGTACGGTGACAATGGTTGGTCTAGCCTTTCCTATCCCTAAGGTGTTAAAAATTGATAAGGGCCTAAGGTTTATGCTAGCATCAAGATCATATAGGACATTTCTTACATGTTTCCCACCTATTGAACAAGGGATTATAAAACTCTCAGGATCTTTAAGCTTAGGGAGAATTTTGTTTGATAAAAGGGTACTATATCCTTCAGTGAGGGCAACACTCTTATTTTCAGTCAATTTATTTTTCTTACTCAATACGTCTTTCAGAAATTTGGCATAGTTGGGCATATTTTTAGTAGCCTATACTAATGGGATGTTTATGTGCAATTGCTCGAACACATCCAAAAACTTTTTAAACTGATTTTTGTCCTTTTGTTTCCTCAACCTCTGTGGGTAAGGAATGTAAGGTGGGACAGGGGTAATTACTGCCTTCTCACGATCTAAGGTTGTTTGGTTAGTAGGGGTTCTTACATCTGTTAGTCTCGATGGTGTTTCAGCTACAAGATCTGGTCATGGTAGATCTATGGCAACATTATTCTGGCTTGATTCGTTAGGTTTAGAATTTGGGTCATTTTGAAAAAGTAATGGAAAGTCAGATCTGTTGTGTATTGTTACAAATTTCTGAGGTGACACTGGTTCAAGAACAACAGTGGGTGTTGTTGTAGCAACAAGTGGTATTGTTACAACAAACATGAAAGTTTGTGCAACAGTCATGTGTTCTTTTGAAGCACTGTCCACTAAGTCCTTTCCACTTCTTAAAATAACTGCCTCCAAATCTTCTAAGGTCATAGTTTTAGGGATCTCAATATCACTAGGTAGTATTCCAACTGGTTTGTTTCTCAACTTTATTACCATTTGTCCTATTTAGGTTTCCAAGTTCGTAATGGTAGCATTATGATTATTCATTGCTGAAGCAGTTTGGTCTATAAACCCCTTCAACATGTCTTTTAAAGAAGATGGTGAATCATTTTGCTGGTTAGGATTTTTTTTTGAAAAGTTGGATGATTTTTTTGAAAATGAGCTTGTTGGTTTAGTGAGTTGCTTGGTTGAAAGCTTTGCCTTGTTTCTTTTTGACAACAGGTGGCTTCAAACATGGACTATTCCAAGAAAAGTTGGGATGTTGCTTCCAACTAGAATTGTAAGTGTTTGAAAAATGACCAATCATATTGTGCAGATAGTTCATATATACAGAGTTTAGACTGGATTGGTCAAAAGTATGACCATTACCATTGTACACACACTGGACTAGGAAAGATTCAAAACAGCTGTTGTAGCAACAATGTTGGCAGCAAGGACAACTAAGTTTTTCAACAGGCTAGTCATTGTTGTAAGTTGTGCAAAGTGAAGTATATGGATCTATTTCATGAATACCTGCTGTCTTTATGAGTATTATTGCTCTGGATCTGTCTAATGGCCATTGTTATTTGAAATAATTTCTAGATGTCATAGCCATCATTATAGATACTAGCAGTAAAGGCTTCACCTGCTATAGTATCAAGCATTTGTTTTGCAGTGGTATCAAAACCATTATAAAACGTCTCAAACTGTTTGAAGAATGGTATGCCATTATGTAGGCATTTCCTTAACAACTCCTTGTACCTCTCCCAAGCATCAAGAACTGCCTCATCCTCCAGTTGTTCAAAAAGAAAAATCTCATTTATAAATTTGGCATTCCTGGTTGGGTGAAAATATTTTTTTTAAAACTTTTCAGCCATGTCATTCTATATAGTAACTGAATATGGTTGTATAGAATTGTACCAAGCTTTTGATCTATCCTTTAATGACCATGGAAATAACTTCAGCCTTAAGGCTTCATCAGTAACTCTACTAAGGTGAAAATAGTTAGTGATTTCCATAAAAGGACTATGGATGTAGATGTAGGTCCTCTGATGGTAATCTAACAAATTGACCATTTGTTTGTAATATATGAAAAAAATGATGGGCTTGAACTTAAATGGCCAGCCTCAATTTCAGGCCTATGTATCCCTGTGTGCAACTAGTTGAACACATGAATAGCATAGTCGATGATGCCTCCATTTTCTGAATTAGCAAGCCTGATAACCTCCTCCTCAGGGTTGGGTCTTGGATTAGATCCGAATTGAGCCATGTTAAGAGAGGTCAGAACTGGTGATAATGTTCTTTGCACTCTCCTTCTTCTAAAGGTTCTCTCAGTATCAGGATCCAATTCAAAATAGTCTTGTGAGATATCCTTGGCATAAACCACTAAAAAGTACTTTTGATGGTAGAAAAATCAAATTTTAAAATAACTTAAAGATAACTCTTTTGGCAAAAATCCCTAGCAGCAACACCAAAAACTTGGTGTGAAGGAAATATAACCCCAAAAAGACTATAACAACAAGTAAATCATGCAAGCATACATCGCTCACAAGTATCCTCCAAAGGAAGTAATAATGATAAGTAATACGAGATATCATTCCTAAGGGATTTGCAAAGCAATAAGAGTCACCAAAGTCAACCTTAAAATAAGATTTCAAGAGTAAAATCTAAGAAAAAACCTTTGAGAGTTGGTAACCAAATATTGAAATGTAACAATAGTTATAAAATAATATAGGTGCAAGATCAGGTTGAATTTCAACAATAGAGTGCAGTGAACATAGTTACAACATTATACGAGGTTGCTGCAAAATAGCTCTCCACAACACTACTAGATCCTAAAGTTGGCACCCAAACTCAACATTGCTATTATTTATAAATTGGCACCTAGGCTCCACCAATTGTAATAATACAGTAACACATTTAACGGTAACAAAATAAACATACCTTAAGGTATAATTTGATATTCGTAATCATTTGATATGAATTTCAGTTCAAAATGGTTATAACAAAACTCACCTTTAAAGTGACTTCTTGGGTCGTGGCTAAACTAACACAAGTCATTGGACAAACTAGACTTGACCTTCATAGTTCCATTTCCTACCAAAACCTTATCAAACTTTAAAACCTCATATAAACTTAATAAAATACCAAATAAAGAAACCTTGAATCCCAAAATGATACAAAATACAAATTTGAAAAACGGATTTACAGAGTCTTGACTTCCGCAACTCACTGGAATTTCATTTCTCATCCGCTTTACCCAGCTACGACCTGCAACATTTCCAAAAGCTAGATTTTCTGTCAAGACAATACCAATTTCAGGGTTCAATTAGGAAGACCCACAAATACTTCTGTTGGAACAAAAATAACCTTGGATTCTTATAAATTCCCAATGATTAACTATCAAAAGATTCCAAGAACGAATCAAACATAAAGCTAGATCATCAAAATGGAGTAAAAGAAATTCTCATAAGGACTAAAATTCAGTTAGGAGTTATATTTTTTAACAAAAGAAACTAAATACACTTAATCTTGAAATCGATTTCAACCTAAAGACATGAAGATAAACCAACCCACAACCCAAGTTACTTCAAACTCAAAACATAACCATGGATGAAAATACCTTACCTGTAAACATTAGAGGAAGAGAAATTCTAAGCAAAATTCCAATTTCTTGAATCTTTTCTCTAGGATATGTAAACCTCACAAACCCTTACAAAAATTCATTTGCAAGAATTAAGTTATGAAAGCAATGACTAAGCCCAAAAGTGATGACTCAATATTTGGGTTCCTAAATTTCATATATACTTTTATAAAATAAGCACTAATCAAAAACAACCCCCCAGACTTACAAAATCTAAAACCTGGTTATTACAACATCTCCTACTTAAAGGAATTTCGTCCTGTAATTTGATCACTTGAACAAACCTGGGTACTTCGATCTCGCTTCCAATTTCGGTTTCCAGCTAATCTCTTGACCTTATGATAACGCCACTGAAACTTTTCTAAACCAATATCTTTATGCCTTAACTCTTTAACTTTGTAATTGATAATAGTTTCTGGTTCCTCAATAAAGTTTAGTTTCTCATCCACTTGAACTTCTAGTAACACTATTTTCTTTGTTGTATCAACTAAACACTTCCTCAAAACACATGAAAATTATTGTGAATACACTCAATTCATCAGGAAGTCCTAACTTGTAGGCCACATTACCAACCCGATCACTGATAACAGAAGGATCGATGTACCATAGGCTCAACTTACCTCTTTTACTTAAGTGAACAATACCTTTCCACGGTGAAATACTTTCAACATCACACTATCCCTAATCTGAAACTCTATAGGTTTACAACGCTTATCGTCATAGCTTTTCTGTCGGTCCTAGACTATCTTTAACTATTCATGATTTTGACTGAGCTTTCTACCGTTAGCTGAATGATTTCTGGCTCAACTAATTGTTTCTCTCCCACTTCGTTCCACACATTGGCGTTCTACATTTTTGGCAGTAAAGTACCATGAAGGTGCCTTTTGAATACTGGAATGATAACTTTTGTTATAAGTGAACTCAATTAAAGGTAAATACTCTTCCTGTGAACCTCCAAAGTCAATAATACAAGCATGCAACATGTCGTCGAGCGTCTAAATCGTCTGTTCACTCTACTCGTCTATCTATGGATGATAAGTGGTACTTAACTATATCTATGATGACATTTCTCTCTAAAAACTCTTCCAGAACATCAAGGTAAAACGACCGTCTCTATCCAATATAATCGATAATTGCATGCCATGTCGAGTTCCCACTACATTGATATACAACTTTGCTAATCTTTCCAACATATACATTTCTTTGATCGATAAGAAATTAGCAGATTCTGACAGTCGATCTAAAATAACCTAGAGAGCATCAAAACCTTTCGGCTTTGCAATTTCGATACAGAATCCATCGTAATGTGATCCTATTTCCAAACTGGGGTTTCTAACGATTGTAAACTACCATAGGGTCATTGATACTCTACCTTAACCTGTAAACAAGTTAAAAGACATTCCACATACCATGTGATATCTCTTTTCATACCCGACCACCAATAGAATTGACGTAGATCACGGTAAATTTTATTAGTACCTGGATGAATAGAATAATGCAACTTGTGAGCTTCTTTCAAAACTCTGTCATGAATATCACCAAAACGAGGTACCCAAACTCTTCTTTTAAAACACATTAATTCTAGGTTGTGTTTCACTAACACAGATGTTATACGCAATTCACGCTTTAGATTTTTTTTTTCACACCTTCGATTTAACATTTCTGTTACTCTTCAAAAATGTTTGATAACAACTCATCTCGTAATGCCATATATTTGATCGTTCCACTCGTTTCATTACGGCTCAAAGCATCGACTACCATATTCGCTTTCCTCAGATGATACATAATCCAACAATCATAATCGTTCACCAATTCTAATCACCATCATTGTCGCATATTCATTTCTGTTGATTGAACAAATGTTGGAGACTTTTATGATAAGTGAAAATCTTGCATTTTGGTGCCATATAAATAGTGTCTCCAAATCTTTAAAGCAAATACAGTAGCTGCGCTCTCCATATCAAGGGTGGGGTATTGTCTCTCGTGATCTTTTAGTTGACAGGAAGCATAAGCAATAACTTCCCTTGTTCCATTAGCACACAATCTAGATTCAATTTGAAAGCATTACAATAAACCACAAAATCTTTTAAATTATCCGGTAAAGATTAAATAAATGCATTATAAATCTTTCTTTTAATGGTTGGAAGGCCTCGACTTGTGCCTCTTTCCATTCAAAATTCACGTTATTTTTGTAACACCCGAATTTTTTTGCAAACGATCGTTGATCGGATAGAGAAACGGTTGGGAGAAAAATCGATAAAATGATCGAGAAACGATAAAAAACGGTTGAAAAATGGTCAGGTGCGGTCGGGCAGTCAATCGGGCAACCTGGCAAGGGCCAAGCGACTGTTTGGTGCGACTTAAGTTGGCCCAAAGGTAGCCTCACATATACAACTCAGTTTTAACCCGATTTCTTCTAGGGTTTTTCTCATTTCCTGTCATATATTCCGCTTCTCTCCACTTTGGGTGATTTTTGCAACCTTTGGGCCTAATTTCAGGAGCATTTTGGGAGCATCTTATGGAAGATCGAGCTTGAGAATCTCTAAAGGTGTAGCTTAAACCTTCAATTTGTTGAAGAGGTAAGATTTTTGGGTATTTTGATATCTAATATTATGGTTGATCTTGATGCATCTCTAGACTTGGGTGGTGAGTTGGAGAAAACTTTTAGAAGGGTTCTTGCTTGTTGGACCTCAAGATTTCATTTTGGAAGCAAGAGATGAGTTTGGAATCTAGGTTTAACTTAACCTAGCAAGGTGCGTTTAAGTTGCTTTGTGAAAACTTTGTACATGCAAAAAATGTCCATTTTGAAGTATTGATATGTTTTACTTGATATTTATCAAATGTGTGGATTATTTGGTAAGTTTTGTGCATTTGGTATATTTAATTTTATAAAAATATGTATTTGGTGTTTTTGGACATTTTGATGAATAAATCATAAGTATGTGTTCTCTTGATGATTTGTCCAATAAATGGAGAAGATTTGGTGATAATTCATTTCAGTGTATTTGATTTAGAAAATGCCTACTATTATGTTAAGGGACATTTTGAAAATATAAATGGTATGATTTCAATTGAAAAATGGTTTGTCCCAACCAATACTGGGTTTTCGAGTTAAACATGCCTTTAGAGCATGTGATTGCATAAACGTTAGTTACATTTTTTTATTAATTATGATGACTTTTACTT